TTTCTCTGTAGTGTATCCGGGCTCTCCCTTAGAGATAGGGTGAGGAGCTCGGTCATCCGGGGGGGACTCAGAGTAGAGCCGCTGCTCCTCCACATCGAGAGGAGCCAGTTGAGGTGGCTCGGGCATCTGATTAGGACGCCTCCTGGACGTCTCCCGGGTGAGGTATTCCAGGCACGTCCCACAGGGAGGAGGCCCGGGGGAGACCCAAGACACGCTGGAGAGACTATGTTTCTCGGCTGGCCTGGGAGCGCCTTGGGATTCCCCCGGAGGAGCTGACCGAAGTGGCTGGGGAGAGAGACGTCTGGGCCTCCCTACTGAAGCAGATACCCCCGCAACCCGACTCCGGATAAGCAGCAGAAGATGGATGGATATATGTGATAGTTCCTCAAAAACCTTTATAAAACCTTTATAAAAGGTTTTAGTCTAGTTGTAGTCCGTTTTATGTTACATTTCAAAAAAACAGCTAACTTTTAATTGCTGTTGGACAAAAAACTTTGATTTCTAGAATTCAAATAAACTTTTTTTATGAACTAATGCCCTACTTTATACCGAAGTTGTCTCACAAAAGTTGTAAAAATAGCAGATCTAATTCAACACATCATATTGGTTAATATAGCAGACAGACAAGCTAACAAAAGGAATGGTTTTAGACACACGAGGTTTAAAGCCCAACGCAAATATTTCCTGATCTACTATGAATTATGCATTACACACAGATCAATCAATCTTCATTGCTCCAAAAAACAAAACAAAAAAACAAAGCACAAAAAAATTCTTCTTTCTACTCTGGCAATTTTGGCTTTAATTCTTCAATTTGGCCCTTGGTTACAGCTGCTCAGGGGTCAAAGTAGATTTAAATTCATAGGGGTTCAGTAAAATATAAATTCAGAGAGAACCTACATAATTGCCTTTTAATGCAATGGCTACATGGCATTGCAATATGTTGACATTTTTAAGGAAACAGAGAAAATGTTTTAATGACAATACAAGGAAACATGTCATATTTGAATAGATAGAAACAAAAACTATGAGAGAAATATTCCAAGATCTATGTACCTTTTCACCTGGCTCTTTACCCAAAAATAAACAGTATGCAGTGAAATATTTGCTGTGGATGCAATTTAGGGATTCCTTTTAGTAGAAATTAAAGAAGGTTTAGCATCACCTCTTATGAGCTGGAAGAAATAAAATACTGATAGTTAGACAAAAGGATTTTCTACGCTTGGCAGAGGATGATCAGTCACATATAGTTTATCAAGTAGCCAGGGAAGGAAGAGCCAGACTGCTGAAAGCGAACCATCAGGTTAGTGACCACGTAAAGTTGATGGAAGATGATCTGAATGCTTGAGTCACTAACCTGATTTAGAGTTCAGTCCGTGCCCAGAGAACGAGGTTGATACCAGCAGGTCAGCTGACAAGACACAGCGCTTGACGCACAGAGAGTTCCATATGCCGAAGCTTTGAAGGACACTAAACTCACAGAAGATCATATCCGAGCAGATGACGAAAGGCAGGATAATCCAGAGGGTGAAGTCAGAAGACAGATCCAAAGTTGTAAGCAGACAGAACACAAGAGGAGTCCAAAGACAGGTCAGACAAACAGATCAGAACAGAGGCTAGAAGGTAAGTAACGCTGGAAAACTCTCAACACCAAAGACTCAAGAATAATCTGGCACTGATGACTGAGAGCAAGTAGTTAAATAGAAGCTGGCACAGGTGGACATGATGAGTTTTAATGAGAGACCGGACAGAATAGGACAGCTGAATGAAATGAATAATTAAGCCAGCCATCAGCGCCAAGAGAATGACATTGATATTATTCCTTTTTTCCCATTTGTTCTGCTGTGGTTGCTCCATTGTACCTGCCCCGGCTGGCTATGAACAGCATTGTAAGTGCACAATTCAGTATGGTGCGTTAATGTGCAATATTATTTTTTCCGACATGTTCTTTAATGCATAATTGCATTGAAAGGTTTGTTAGTATGCACACAGTAGTGGCACTCTGTTGCCCCAAAGACATAGACAATAAAGAGAAACTGCCCTCACATAGTCCCATGAACGCATCAGTAAGACCTGCAACCCTCAGTGGGATCCTTTTTTAGTTCAGGGACTGAGGCGAAAGAATAAATGTTTTCTCCATAATACTACCCGCATGCACTCTGCATGTAAATTGATTTCCAATGCTGTGAATAATGAGCATCTTCCCCAGTACAGCATTTCTGATTGGGTATTTCCTTAGGTTGATTGGCAAATCAAGTCACAGCAAAAGAGTCGGTTATCTAATGCATCAGCACATACCTACTTTGTAATAAAATCCACCACAGAGGTCATTTCAATAGAATGTGTCCTCACATATGATATGTGACTTCTTTTTCCAGAATGTTTGTACAGTATATATATATATATATATATATATATATATATATATATATATATATATATATGGATGGATGGATATATGTATCTATTCAGCAACTTTATGGTAGGGGTTCGTATGCATGTAGGACATCTCTAATGTTGCTTGGAGTATGTACAGTAAGTTTGTTTCAGCTAAACATGCTATCAATCTCTATGAAACAACTAGGACTCTGAGAAATTGTGATATTAATAACTCATCAATTAAACGGATGCAAGCTTTCTCCTTCCTGTTTGCTGTTTTCCCTCCCTGCCTTCCTCTTTTATGTCTGTCTTCCATTTTTCATCAGCTTAATGGTAATTACTGTCTACCTTCACCTCAGCCTGCTGTGTCATCTCCTACTGCCCTTATTTTGATAGTGATATTAATGGGATTAGGATGTTTACATGCCCAGCAGAAGAGCTTTTATTTATATTAGTTTCTCAGTGCTATCATGCCTCCAGAGTTTGGCTTTATGCAAGTGTACAAAAATGGTAAGTTGCCCTATAAAAGGTTTTAAAAGCAGGGTATTTTTTGATAGAATTACTGCACAGGTGAAGTATATAGGTGAAATTTCCAACTTAGAGACCATCTTTAAACATATTTTGTGATAAGCGTTAGATATAACAAACACCATTTGTATACTAACCTATATTGTTACTGCCACAGTTGGACAAATAATGAACTGCAGCTACACACAAACAGCCCTCAGAAGCCCGGGCTTCTAAAAGACACAAGCTTTTGAGTGACAATGGAAACTGGTCTATAGCTCAAAAGCTTTGGTCGAAAGTCAGCATATGGTTTTAGGCCCAGTTTTGTACTGACTCAAGCTTTATAAATGAGAATATTCTTTAAACTGAAGAACTGAAGCTTTCTAGTTTTATCAAATTATTTGATTTAGTTCATAAACAGTTATATGTGAATGCATTATTAATGAATGGGTGAAGCTGAAAAAAATGATTATCTGTTCATCATGTCTCATGGTTAATTAAGTTTTTTTCCTGGTCTTCAGTCTTATGATCTATGTGTAAAGAAAATTCCATTTATTGCAGATCAGGTCATATTGTGCCATACATTATACTGTTACACATACCTGAGTGACTGCATGTATTTACAACTATATCCTGTTACATTGGAGCTTCATGTTTCAGTAAAGCAGTATATCTGAAATATGTCTGTATTTTTGCTGCATAGGAAGAAGTGAAGAGTTATCATCGCTGCTGCAGCCACAGTGGAGGGCCAGCACTTCAGAAGATTGAGAGGTAAGACAGTGAAGTGCCTGAATTCCACCTGTGTTTTATGGAAACATTCAGTCCATGGAAAGAGGATGTCACAGTGTATGAAGAAAACTATCTCTTTACCAAACATAACTTCTACTCTGGTTAAAGAGAACTGTATATATTTTTTCTGTTGTAAAGTAATCCCACAACAAAAAAAGATAGAAACATTTGTTAAAAAAATGTTCTTTCTTATTTTCAAATGTTTAGAAGCGAGGAGGACAACAAAAGCTTGTATCTCCGAGAGCAGCAGCAGCACTTGGAGATAAAGGCGACCATGTGAGTACCCAGAGGAAAGCAACATCTGAAATGAGATCTCCAAGATGTTTCATGTGCTTCTGCGATACATCTACGAGATGTGTGACACCAAAATGAGACTAAGGTTTATTTCTCCTGTGTCTAAGTTTTTCTCTGGAGCAATAAAATGTACTCAAGCTTGGTTTAGTCTTCTTTCAAGTTTCAGAAAAGATCTCAACAAGCTCATACATAATTTTCAGACTTCCTCAACTTTGGTGTCCTCGTGTGATCCCAAGCAGAGAAATCAGAGAGCTCTCTCTATGAGCTCAGTCTACTCTCATCCCAGCTTCACTTCTTGCTCTGACAGAGAAAATAGCCTTCCACAAGCACTCCTTTTAAGTTGTAGACAAGATCTGAACAAGATCTAATATCATTATCAGAGTTTCTCAACTTTTGTGTCCTTTGTGATCTAGCATAAAGAAATCAGATCAATCTCTTTTTGAGATGAGTCTACTCTCTCCTAGTTAAGTATTGTATTTGGAAAGCATTAAACACAACATTCCTAGAGACTACTACACATTCAAAACATTATGCAACTCTTAAATAAGGATAGGGGAATTAGATGTTGCTGTTAAAACAAATATCAGTAGGCAAATCACCTGTCAGGATGGTTTGACTTCCAGTTTTCATTGGATTTTCTGGGAAGACAAAAGAATGTCTTGAAAATGATAATTAAATGCCAACTATGAAACAAGAAGTTATTACACATTAATAACTAACCAGAAAATATATATTGTTAATCTGAGACCAATAGCTTTATTGAATGTAGATTACAAATTATTCACTCTCATTGACTTAAAGTTGATCTGGGAGAGATAATGCATGAAACCCAATCAGGATTCTCTGAGGAATGGTCTATAAACAACAATGTTAGGTTGGTTCTTAACTTAATAGACTATAAATTGTTTATTGAAGATAAAGGCTTTGTTATACTTTTAGATTTTACAAAGCTAATTGCTATATATAGCATCCCTTTATAATTAAACCCTTAGAGTATTTTGGTGTTGGTAAAAGGTTTATAAAAGAGATTAATTTAATGTTTACGGATGTTAATTGTTCAGCCCCTCTCTCTCAAGGAACAACCAGAGGATTTAATGGGGAATCTGACAGGGTTGCCTCTGCTCTCCTTTATTATTTATTTTAGCTGCACAATTAATGGCTGTTTTTCTTAAGAATAGCCATTTATCCATTAAATGTATTCGGTTATCCTCTGGTAATAAATTAGGTCGCTGATGATACCACTTTTTCAGAAAGATAAAAGAATAGATCCTTTTAGTTATAAAAAAGATTAAATTTATAAAAACGTGAGTTAATGTCAAAACAGGTTTATCAATAAAGCCCCTTATATTGGACTCCAGTAAAAACAGAAATAAAATATTAATCCATGACCATAACAAAGGATTATAAGGCAAATTAAGATTTTAAATCTTACCTGTCATAATGAAAAGTAAATGCAGTCGAAGTTCTTGGCTAAAAAAGAGATGACCAAAGTGGAGGCACCTGTCGATTTACATTTTGACCCATTTCTTTTACTGTCGCTCAGTTGGGTGAAAGTGGCATCGAATGCAGGAGTTTGCCCTGCATTACCCCGGAGGGTTGTGGGTTCAAGCCCCAGCTTTGACTTTCAATGTAATTCCGTTGTGTATGTTAAGAGAACTGATGGTGGTCAGAAAGCTCATTGGCTCCTTTACATGGCAGCTTTGCCTCTGTCTGTGAGCTCCAGGGTAGATGTGGCTTACCAAGATGCTGTGTGAGTGGTGAATTGATGAATAAGTGTGCATGTTTAAATTAAATATTTGCCAGGTATCTAAAATATGACTCCTGTACTGTAAAGTTAACGTCTCACCTTATTTCTCCTAGTGAATTCTAGGAGAAATATCTGAGACAAAATAGAAACCAAAACAAGATTGAGATGAGAAACTCAAATATGCAATCTTTGAGCAGTAAAACTTCCCTCTGGGTATGAAATTTATATTTTGAGTTTCACACTCAAATTATCATTGCCCTTCAAGCACTATGAGATTGATATTTGTGTGGCTTTAATACTTTTTTTCCTGCAGTAATCAGGTTTGGATTCCATGGTTATAGTAATATTAAGTACATTGACCTTTGTAGAATTTATTTTAATGTTATTTGACCTAAATATGTGTGAACAACTTCATAGGAAACAACCTTTAATCATTGCCTTGTTCTCCTTATCCATAAAATAAAACAATTTAAAAACTAATGTGAAGAAGTGATAGAAACGGGATGTAGAAAGATGAGAAAAGCTAAGGAAAAACAAATAGGTTAAGAGAAACTGTCTGAAGAAGAGCCTGATGAGGAGGAGAATGGAGGGAAAGAAATTCCAAGGAGACAGCAATGAAAAAAGTTGGACTGGACAAAGCACTGGTATTGGTTTTAGAGCAGGGAATTATGGCTTAATTCAATTCGTTCCATTCAGTTCCGCTGTCTCTCTGCTCTACTGGAGGTGAGTGGGTAAGTGATCCTACTCTAAATTGTGAGCTCTGGATTTAAGGAGACCAGACGGATGAACAAGACAAAAAAGTGATATTTTGAGTAACAACTGTTTGTTGAGTTGTGAGGCGTGGCAGATGGAGAGATGTCATAGAACTGATTAAGGGTCGAACAACAAAAGTCCAATAACACAAAAAAATATGACAGAAACAAATGAACAGACACAAACTGTTTAGGTGAGTTGGAAAGAAAAAAACACAAAATGTTAGGAAGAGTTAAAAATGGAATACATAATTTAATTAGTATTTTAGTTTGGGAATCTATAAAAAAAATGTTTATTCACCTGAACATAATTTACATGTGCCCTGCGACAGACAGGCAACCTGTCCAGGTGTATCCTGCTTTCACCNGGATGGATGGATGGATGGATGGATGGATGGATGGATGGATGGATGGATGGATGGATGGATGGATGGATGGATGGAGGGATGGATCGGAATCCAGAACCGACTCTGTGTGTTCTAATTCCATGGCACCGTTTGACAGCTTGCTTAACAATTCTCTTAGCTTTTCCAGGCAGCACCAGAGCCTAGCGCTGGGCAGCATGACTTAAGTGACGTGTTTTACGCAAGTTACCCACATGGCATTCAGTAAGGAAGTACAACGTGACCAGGTGTAAGTCTCGAAAAGCAAAACAAAAGCGTCAAAGCAATCGAAAGATTGGCTTCATTTTAAGGAAGAAAAATATGGCAACAAGGCACTTTGCAATCATTGCAAAGTGGCAATTGCATCCGCGAGAGGAAATACATCCAACATGCAGAAACACCTGTGCACACAACATGGCATACATTTTAACAAATGTCGTGTTTTTGATGCTTCCGGACAGAAGCTAAAGTTACGACCAGCATGGAAGGCAACTCTGGTGGTACAGTCAGTAGCTAGTTTTATACCACTGGCTGTGCTTAATGTGGTTCCTAGTAAATCAAATGCCATTTCTGGAAATAAACCAGTTTCCTACCTCTCTTTGGAATTATTAAACATGCTACGAAGTTGCTCCGCAGTTCAGGGAGCGAGAGAAAGGTGACACTTGTTTAATTAAATCAGGGGGAGATGAGTTTATTTCCCGAAATTGCACAGAAATGCTTTTTCATTAAATGGATGCCTTCTCAATTAGATTTAGATGACTGTGAAGAGACGGGTAGCCTGGCTTGCTCAGAGGCTGGCAGCTCCCGGTCACTGCCTTCTGTTTTCACTGATGCAGGCAGAAATAGAATGTCCCAGGCGAAGGAAACGGACGTCACTATGCACTTACCAAGTTCATTGTTAACAGAATCAATAAGAGAATCGGAATCGTGAAAATCTTATCAATTCCATGGTATCAATTCCATGGTTGGTTGGTTGGTTGGTTGGTTGGTTGGTTGGTTGGATGGATGGATGGATGGATGGATGGATGGATGGATGGATGGATGGATGGATGGATGGATGGATAATTTATATGCTTATTTTGCATCAGTATATTGTTCTAAGCATATTATTGTTAGTGTTCACTGGTAGTTTACCTACAAGACCTATTAAACTACAAGACCTCTTGTAGATTACCTACAAGCTTACCCACAAGACGTTTAATAGCATTAAGTGAGGCGCCAAATTTCATGTTCCCCCACAACTAACCTAATTCAGTTAATTTTGCTAATTTTTCTTTCTTTTTTTCCAATCTTCTTTATTTCTTATTTTATTTTCCTGTTTGATTTTCCCATTTATTCACAACATGGTCTCACAACATTTTTTGTATGTATGTACTGTATAAGGATTGTGTTTTGATCAAACCTTTACTTTCTTTAAGGATTTACCTTATTCCCATCTGTGTTTGGGTCCTTTTTTTTTAAGTATATTTTGCTCCTAAGTAGACAGATTTTCTTGTATGTTTATAAAGGTGATTTTGGCTACTCTTTTCACATATTGTAAATACATTCTTTGTACCCAACATACACTGTACATCATATTTTCCCAATGGAGCGTTTTTATGGGCAGGGGCAAGCATAGAGAGCACAGAATTAATGAGATGAATAGCTCAACTAAGTCGTTGCCCAGGGAATTGAATGAATCTAAACAGAGGCCCTGTGTGAGGGATAACAGCTATGAAAAGGGAAAACAGATTAGAAGCCTTTATTGTTATTGCATATAAAAATATATATAATGTGATTTATGAAACGGATACAACACTATGTTTGTAGCAGTAGCTATAATTAATATTTTGTATTGACTCTTCACTCTGCATTTTCCTTATGTGGCATATTCATGGAGTATGATAATAAAAAATTAAATCGAAAAGAAAGTGGTCACTATGTCCTCAATTAGATTAAGCCTATAGCATCATAACTAGCTTGAGATAAGAGAAGTGGATGTAAATCAAAGAAAACTATCAAAGAAAAATATTAAGACAAATTATTTAATGTGTATTTCAGTACATTTGTTATTTGTATTTTTGGAATAGAAAAACAGCTGCTGTCGTGAAAAGAAATCCTGCTACTGTAGCTCTGTAAGTGATGTAAATTGTCATTTTTGTTTGTTGTTTTATCTAAAATATGACTTATAAAAGGTTTAAGTTTAAAGTGAATTTAGTGATTTTGGGAGGAAAAGGAAAGAATGTTTTAAAAGCAAAAAGAAAAATGTTTGAAAAAACATAGGACAAAAGTTGCAGGCTTTATACAATATAACCAAAAATCTAAGATGATCTGCTGGATATGAAAGATTTAGACATTTTAGTAATAATAATTTTCACTTTAAATTATTTATTTTATGTATTATTATAATTTTTTTTTTGCTTGTTTTTTTGTTTCATTTTCTTTATCTGGATACTATGTTTTTTTTTCCAATAATGTGAATAAAACATGTATTTATGCCTCTTTCTATTTACTTTTTTACACAAATAATTTTCCCTATGATTATTTAGATATTTACCATTTTGATTTATATTCAACTTAGATTGTTGAATATTAATAGTTTTACATTAAGGTGTTCATGAATAGAAGTAGGAAAGATGGGCTCTGGCAGTAAAAATTTACTTCCAGACAAAAATATGTCTACTTTTAGTGCAGTAATATTTTCTGCTCTCACATTTCTTAACAGGGCTGTATTTGCTTTTCCACTAAATTACATGAACGGCAGATACAGTGATTAATCATTGGCTCAGATCATTTGATTGCCCAGTAATCTGAAATCAATTCCTCTTGCACTGGAGCTTCTGAAAGCTTTCTAAACCTTTGCAATACAGGTAGAATAAGAAGATAGAAATAGGAAGGATAAATGGAATACTAAACTGCTCATATCATGTAGCTGCAGAAGTGAAACACAAAGAGGCAGTGTGGTGGTCTATGCAAAAGTAGCTTTCAACAAAACATGTTAATTCGTTTAACAAAGAAGAAAACAAAAAAAGATTAAAATCTAAAGCTTAAGAGTCATTCATTGTTTTGTGCTGGTCGATCGCATAAAACAATTTGCAGCGCTTTAAAGGAAATATTGGTTAGAAATTATACACTGCAAAAAAATGAAATCTAAATAAGTCTTTTTTTTTATTAAGTGCATTTTTTCTTGAATTAAGTATTTAAGTGAGACACTTTGCCAATGGAACAAGACAATTTACACTTAAAATAGGAAAAAACATTGGCATTGTCTTATTTCAAGTGCATAATATCTACGTAGATACCTTATTTTAGGAGTAAATATACTCATTCCATTGGCAAATCATCTTATTTACCTGCTCAAATTAAGGGTATATCTCTTAATTTAAGACATTTTTACTCATTTTGAGGTCGTTTTTGCAGTGTAGGCCAAGGATTTAAGCATCTGTATCTGAAGAACCTACTAAATAGGGTGTTAGATTTAGATCCACACAATGACATTTAAAATACAGTAACCTGTTGTAATTATAACCCTTATTTCATGTTCGTAGCATCCAGCGGGCCTGGCGAGCTAGTCTGTCCCGTAAAGTCAACCCCGAGGTCCAAGAGGAGAATCGCACCAGACATGAATGGAAAGAGCCCAGGACCTTAGAGAGCCTCCACAACTCTGCGGTGACTTCAGATATTTTTCCGGTAAGGCTACACAAATTGTAATCGAAAAGACCTCCATATGGTATGAGATAAAAGTCAGACGGGGGTGAGAGTGGCTGGCATCTTACCTGCTGTGTCGTTTGAATTATTAGCTCTCGTCTGTTGTTTCTGTGGAGCATGAAAAACACAAATGGATAAGCATATGCATGAATAAAACGACTAATAAGGAATATAGCAAACAGAAGGGAATGAGGAAGGGGTGTTTTCCTCCACCATCGTTTCGGGGGGCTGCAGGGGTCATACTGGAGAAGGTAGATGGGAGGCCAGCTGGCACTGCGCCTGGATGTGTAATTAGCCCTTAATTAGGTAAATTTTCAAAGCTGGTTGATTGATTAATGAAGTGCCTCTGCCCTCTTCTTACATGGCTCACCCCTCCACCAGCTCTTTACCTCTTTGTAATCTTGAGGCGGTATTAGGGGGTAGAATTAAACAGTGCTCACAGGGCATGGCAGCCAGACAAAAGCCAGAAAACAGAAGAATGGTACAATCCGCAGATAGACAGAGAGAGGGGAAACAAGGAAATTACAAAGGCAGCTGAGCTGGAAAAGCACGGGCAGAGATAAGAGGGTGCATATTGGTATGTGAAAAAGATTCCTTTAGATCGCCTCAAGTTTTAAGTGACAAACTCAGACACACACAAACACCATTCTTTGCTTTCTCTGTGTGTGTCGGCTCTCACAGTGTAGTAATCAGGCTGAGACAGACAAGCTGCTTGCGCACACCTGCCCACACTATTTGCAGATACTCACAAAAAATATGATGTCATGTCTCTGTGCTCAATGCTGTCTGTGTGGGTTGGATTTTTATTTTTTTTATCTTCACTCTTTTTAAGCTGTGTTACTGAGCTGATGTCCTGATAAGACCTACTGTGTGAATGTGTAGTCCATTGAAAGTGATGGAATAGAGTTTTTCAAACTTAAAAATATGTAGAAATAAAGGATCCATAAACTCATCAAACAACATTTTACAATATCGGTGTCAGAGATTTTGGCTTGTTTGTCGAAAATGACCATATCCTGTTCCTTTTGCTGGAAAATCACAAACAAACTACAAAGAAAACAGAAAATAGTTACTTGCACAAATAGGGAATTTGCTTATAAATGGTAAAATTTTGAGCTCCTTTTATCATTTGGATCTATATTAAATACTCATCAATTTGTTTTTAAATCTCACTACACTGTATATTGTTTGTTGTTAAAAAATAGTGGTGTTTACTTCATTGTCAGCAGATACAGAATACTAGACAAAAAATGTATACAAAAAAATTAAGGATCAATAAGCAATAGTTTTTTTTTTATTGTGAGAAAAAAAAATGTTTTGAAGAGCTAAAGGTATCTCTTTAGATGGAATATGTTCACGCACCATAACTCTGTTGTTCTGGAGTCTCTTGTTTACAAGCCGTGTCGGCCACGCTTGCATGGGTGTCCTTGTGACTGGCTGCCACTCAGGGCTTAGCTCCTCCCTGCCCATAAAATGTCACTGCCAGAGCAGCATATAGTGGGAGTGAAATGCCAAAGAGAGTGTTCAGATGATTGAAATGTTCATCTGAAAACAATAATTTGTCAAAATAAACTTCTCTTGCTAATGGCATCATAATATTATCTATGACGTCCTCACTAGACATGTTCCTCTGAAAGATGATGCTGTTTTTCTGTGTATTCATTCTTTGCAAATGTGAACATGCAAGTGAGGTGTGAGAAGGAAAGGGAAAAGGGATTGTCAAAGCAGTGCCACAGGTGCAGCAGATGTAGAGAGATGCATTGATTGTCACACATCTTGTTTTGGTCTACAGACAGTGATCAACATCCCTCCTAATGGTCAAATCTCTAATTGTTCCTTTTAGTTTAAAAAAAAAGTATTTTTGTACCCTTCAAGTGCCCAGGTTGATGATGCAAATGGTTTGGACCCCACTGTTTAACACTAACGCATTTACAGTAACGAGGCGCGACCCATGTGCAAAGGCTTATTCCTCTACACCGCTGTCTTAGGTTTGAGTCTTGCCCTGTTGATCTTTGCCACATGTCGTCCCCCTGTATCTAATCCCATTTCCTCTCTGCATACTTTCAAAGAATACAAATATAAAAGCTACTAGAGCCTGAACAAAACCATTTTTACTTATAAACTAATTATTTTCTTGTCACTAGCTGGTGGAAGTGTAAAAGCCAATCCTTGATTAAAAAATGGTTGCCTACTCTCTAAAGATTTCTTGAACATCTCATTGTAGCTTCATTTTATGGTTGACATATTCAGATCAGAGAATGTTCTTTACTATGACTGAAAAACTTAAAGTAATATGTAGGTTCTTTAAAACAAGTTCTCAGAGTTGACAAACAGAAGGAGGGGCTTAAAATCAAGTAAACACAAAATAAAGCAATACAAGAAATCATTAAAAAGAAGCGTAATGTAATCAACAATTTTAATTATTTCAGTAATCGAGAATTCAAAATTGTCTGTAGCCAATAGGAGCCATTGTAGCTTATGTTTGAAATTACGTTTTTAACTTCAATTTAACAGTAAGTGATGTTTAAAAGAGAGGTCATATGTTAACTTTTATTAGCAACATATTCCTTGTTACAAATGTTTTATTTCTCTTTACTTTGTGTTAATTTACTCTATTTATTACTTACTATTAATTGCAGGCAAGTGCTAGTTGTTAAATTTGTGTTTTTCGTGCAAAGTTTGATTTAACTGTAATCACTTGAAGCTAGGAAAAAATATAAAAGGATTTTTATATCCATCAGTGCTCGGAAATATAATTTTATTGAATTAAAGTCGTTTCATCAAAGCCGCCTTTCACTTTGAAAGGCACATATTTCTAGTCTTCTCTCGAGCACCTTTTCTGTTTTTAACTCGGTTGCATCACTTATTCTGCCTACACCCTACATGTTTTCTCTTCTTCCTCCCTCTGTTTATCCCTCTCAAATCCTCTGTCTTGCTCACTTCGTCTGTCCTCTTTCACAGTGTATCCCTCTCTGCTGTTGCAGTTTGGGTTCTGAAGGACAGACATTAATCAGTGTAAGGCCAGGGTGCCACATTATATCTTTCCGAGTGTTGCTGCTTGTGTTAGCTCATGTGGATTTGAAGGACCTTGCCACTACCCTATAGGGGAGCAGGGAAGGTTCAAACATACTTCATACATATTTTATGGAACTTCAATATTGAGCACACATACACATAGCAAAGATACAGCAGCACCCACTCTTCATCTTACATTGGAAAACATTCTTTGATTTACAATGAGGAATTCAAGTGTTTGCAACAGTGTCAGGCTGACATGGCAGCTCCATGTCCGGAAATGATGGTCTGCTGTAAAACTAGGCCCAAATGTAATATTTATGCACTAAGGGCCTCGACCCTTCATGTCCTACTCTGGCCACGTTGATAGTAAATCAATAGTTTTGACTGTTGCAAAGATACTGCTGCTTAATGCTGGAAGACATGAGGGAGCTGCTACGTAGCTAGGTTTGTTTTGTTGATATGATATAGTGTAAAGGAGAACGAATTTTACTGTTACAAAATTTTTTTTTTACTGGTAAAATTAACTGAATCAAGCTGATCAAACTTATATTTAGGTTTAACTTTTCTAAGTCATAACATTGACATCCAAATCAATAATGCAGCTCAGACTTTATCTTGTCATATGTTTCATCTATTGGGCTGTTTTATGACTTTCTGCAACTTACTGCATGCTTTTTCATAAAACGGCTATTGTCTGTAGTTATTAGCTTTAGCTTATTTTATTGTACTTTTTAGGTCATGCTGATCATTCCATTTTACCTCTCTGGTTAACATTACTTGTAATTATCTGAAGGCTTGTATCTAATTTTTCAGGAACTTAGAGCTTTTGGCTGCAACTTTTTGTTTAGATTTTGAAACCCACAAAGTGTACCCTGTATCACAAGGAGGCTTGCAACCTTATAGCTCCAATTCAACATGTCATCTCAAGGCACTTTACAAAGACAATTCAACCAGATGATACAGTTAGATTGGTCCAAAGTTTTCTATCTAAGGAAAACCAGCTGATTGCATCGACTCATTGACTCGAACGCCGGCATCATCCTTGCTTGTAGCGACAGTGGAGATGAAAAGTCCCTTGTGACAGTAAAAAAAACCTCCAGCAGAACCAGGCTCAGTGTAAATTTTACCCAACTACCAAACAGAGCCTTCTGTATAGACTGTTTTCTGGGGCTCAAAGGGTACTCTTAAGGTCTTTAATTTATTATGAGATGATTTGTAACAAGGTACATGTTCCAAACTTAAGCATATTTTCCAGAATTCACAAGGTACCTACCTACAAGTAATGGGTTTTACTTTCTAAAAAGTGGATGGTAAATTATTCAAACTTATTAGTTACGTTCTTTAATGTTTAGGTTCATTTCTTTTCAGGTTAGTGACCCTGAACTTTCACATAACACTCTGTAAAATTCAGACATTACAAGGTATCCTCAAAAATCCACCTGCTATATGCCCCATCAGTCTGGTTTCTAAGAAGAACAATGGAAGGGAAGGTCTGTGCTGCTATATGTGCTGCTACCTGATTTTTATTTTATTTTAAATGTGTAATTCCCGTCTCAGATAGTTACTTTATTGGTATTGAATACAGATGAGGTCTTGTCCCCTGCAAGTTGTTTTAGTCTTTTAACAAGCGATTACTAAAAGATGAGGATTGGAAAGTTGCAGTTGGCGCTTTGCAGATTTAATAGTGTCTGCCTTTTCATGAGCATGAATGTTATTGTTAGGCAATTTGCGCCCTTGTTCTTGCATTTATGTTTAAATGTCTGTCCTTCTGTAATCTGGATATTTAGAGGTTTTTAAGCACAAATTTACATAGATGCATCTATGTAAGGGCTGGCTGGTGCTGCTGTGGATCCGTTTAATTCACATTCGAGTGTGGCTCCCAGGGAAGTTTCATTCAGAGCCACAAGCCAAGGATCAAAGCTAGCTGGAATGGTAATGGAGATTAATAGATTCATAGTTAAAGT